GTGTGTATAAATGTTATGGCATTGTGGTGACCGTTTTTGCTTAATGAGCAGAACTTCGTGGATTCAGTCCCAGAATCCTTTACATTATAAGTGAATTGTCGTGAATGTGCAGAGGATTTAACGGCCATTGTCATGCGTTTTGAAAAGTATGAGATAACCAGTTTTTATACATTTCACCATTTCACCGAAAGCCTTTGTGTTGCTGGGTTTATGGGGGAGGGGTCAGTTGCCTCTGGCTACACCTATGTCCACGGGTGGTTCATTAAGCTCAAACTAAATGTAAAATACTGACGTAATTAGAAACAAACCGGAAAACTTCAGGAATAAGCTCGGAGGACTTAAAAAACTGGTTTGAAGGGCTTCAAATAGATTCGGTAAATTTAGGATCTGACGTAGCATGTCTCTAAATTTACATGGACGATGCTTTTCGATTGACCCGATGAACTTCGTGAGCGAACTTCACGTGTAAATTAACACCATTTCGTCCGTCTTAACAAAATTTAATAATGCTTGGGCTTATTCACGTCGTCTTCTTCTTATATCTGGTTTTTGACGCTTTTACACAAGCTTTAGGCTGCTCTCAACTTAATGTTCTTTGAAACATTGCCACAGGTATCAATTTGGAGCTTTCCAAGTTAGTCAATGCATGGATTTGTATATGTAAAATTGTAATTTGTAAAATTACATCCAAGAGGATGAATTTCAATCATGTCGAAAATCTCATGTAATTTTTATGGCCACAAAAATAAACAAATGCAGTAAAAGCAGCGTAATGTCAGTTTATGCACTGTACCCAGGTAGCAATTTGATGCTTAACAAGTGTTGTTCAATCGATTTTAATTCAGCCTTAGTTTGAATAATTGTTGCACATAGACCACGTTAACCTTTGTTCAGCTTTTAAACATCTAAATTTGGTGATTTTAATCAGTCAAAAGCTTAACAGTTCATAAATTATAAGCTTTTTAAGGCATTAAATAACAGTCTTTTCCAACCTTTGTTCAGCCTCCTAGCTTTGTTTAAAAAAAAATAATTGAAGACCGCTTCATATCTGATATATTTTTATGGGACTGCAACAAGGTGCTGACTAACTAATTGGCTTTACATATTTATATTGTCATTATAAGTCTAAATTTTACCTTTGAATTTCGGGTTTCGAACCGGCAGTCACTGATTCACAGGCATCAATTATACCTACTGGACCACTTAAGCAAAAAATTCACGTCAAATTCAAGTTGAATAACAGCAACCGGAAGAGTATTTTACAGCAAGGCAGAATTGTAAACAACAACTGGTGACAGTTTATGTATAACGAAAATTATAACTTGGCTCTGTAAAGTTTATTCGATTGAGCCTGTACAAATAAAGAAATTAAAAAAAAATTGGTGACAGTAAAACATTTCTCTCATTTTCAAGTGTAGTTAACACAATGTGGACACAAGTGGGCGATTTATTTCGATCGTCATGTGGAAGCTGTTTTAGTGCCAGAATTGAGTTATAATTTTGGAATACTGTCTGAAAATTCAGTGCAATATAGCAGTCAAAACACAGAAATACAAATGTTAATGCTTCCGACGTCATCGCAGCTCACTTCTACCTGTAGCTATTCCTAAAAAGCTCATCTACCTTGTCTCTACTGCTGCCGCTGCTTGTAATTAGAAAGGTAGGCAGTGAATTTAGAAGAACTAAAATGCCGGAAATGCAACGAGTGACACTGACTACATTTAACAAATCAGGCTATCAAAGCTGGTTTTTGGAGTAGTGTTTAGCTGAAATAAGGCTTGTTCAATATTTAGATCAGCTAACTTATTGAGGTTGAAATATAGGGATACAGTTAATCAGCTTTGTACACCTTAAATCAACCAATAATCAGCTTCTGTTCTTACTGTTCCGCTTGAATTGTTACTTGGGATATTAATTATAATTTTGTCCTTTTTGGCAAGTAATATTACACCATATTTTTGACACGATTTAAGTGCATCTACTTTGAGGTGCCCATGAAAGTCCAACGTGAAATATTTGCTTGTCTATCGGCTTGGTAATAGCTTGTCTTCACTTATTAGTCGAACTAGATGTACTAAAGCTGTACAGTTTTAACAGAACTAATTTGCAGGAATGGACTACACACTCTGAAAAAATCATCTTAATTTAAGAGCTCTGAGACTGACATATACGAACGTAAGTTTTGACATAAAATTGAGTCATTACAGACGCTGAATTCAGCTCAATCAAACGTACTCTTCGTCGAGTAACAAACTTTTCAGTCTCAGAGCACTTAATTTTTAATAAAATGTTCCTTTATGTCAAAGATGTATTCCGTCACGAGTTGAATTAGTTATATCTAAGCGTGTTCCAATCTTTGTAATTCGGATATCATTTCGAAGAGGTTAAAATGCGATTACAAACTGGACTTATGTGTTTTCTTAAACAAACGGTTCAAATGTAAATGATAGGAATTGATTATGAGCCATAATTTGCGCAATTTGCACATTTCAATTTTACATCCACTGAAGGAATTATTATTTTATTATTCGCACCATTTCTCAAAGAGTTATTGAAACATCCATTAATTATTTTGAACGAGAACCACAAGCTGCCTTTAAAAAAAAAAAACGAGAAAGAGAACATTTTCCGGCTATCGTTCGCGTAAATTTTTCCCCAACGCGAAAATTCACAAACCGGCCACGGCCAGACGGTGAAACGCCGCATGGCAATAATGCAAACGACAGTAATCCATACGGGATTTTTGAAACAAGATTTAAATTACCAACATAATTTATTATCCAAGTTTTTCTTTCGAGCGCAGCGGACGTTAGGTTGAGACCGATATCACAGCAAGTGATTAAAACACATTAATCCATGTGGATGCGCATTAATCCATGGGGATAATCGATATTTCATATAAACATATCAGTGAAACCTATTTGCGATGGTGAATATCTTCGATTAACATAAATTCATCTAGTCAGTAGATCAGGCAACATCCCATCATTATGGTTGATTTAATATGGGTATAGGTCATATCGGAACTAAATTGCTTTATTGATGAGAAATTACTCACAAGCTGCCAAACCTAAAAGTCCTTTCAGAACTATGAGTTAAATTTTCACATGTATATGCATTCTCGATTTACCGTATGCGTGATAATGTTTGCCCCATCGTACAAATAAGGTTCCCGTTTCACCTGTGCATGACTTGGTGTTCTTTGCATGTACGTAGCCCATAGCTCATACCGTAGTTGGCTGTGTATAAAAGAAAATAATTTACTTAGTTTGACAGTTACACCATGACGAAGTGGCAGCGTATTCGTGATTTGTCCCACGCGCAAATGTCGCAAAAAGACATTTCAATCGCCGTGGGAGTGTCCTGGTGAACCGTCAAAAGGGTTTCAGACCGAGAAAAGAAAGGACAACTATCCGCGAAGGTGGCCACAGGTCGTCCGAGGTCAGCTCGGGTTCCGAGGGTAATCGCTGCTATCAAAAGGAAGTCTCGGGTGAATCCAGTGCGTTCAATGATGAAAATGGCAAAGGAACACGGGATCAGTGACTTACTTCTTTTTACATTCCATTGAGCGAATTTACCGTTCTTCTGGTGTTCTTCAAACGAAGGATCGAAGCCACAGAGATTCAATGTCCGTGACCGGATAAAAAGAAACGATTCCCACGAGTTATCCTGATTTTTTTTTTGTGGTGAATAATAAGCTACCATAAAGAAAGGTTATTAGAACATACGTTTTTTTTTGTTTTAATGTAATTGTAATAATTTAGTTTTTTTTAGCTGTTGCAAAAACTCCATGTATTATACGGCTACCTATAAGTTCAACTTGCTCCTTGAATTTAAAAAAGTTATCAAATTCCCACACCGAAGTTTGTAAAACAAAAAATAAACGAAGAAATGCGACAGCGATTGAATCGTTTCCTCTTTTTGATATTCCAATTGACAACGTGTCTGATAGCTGAATGCCACCCCGTTGTTGGAAAATCAAAAGAGGTTACGCTCGCACGGTTGGGCAAAAGCGAGATGAATTTATATGTTAATTTTATTTGATATTTGTTTCCCGGTAAGGAAATCCTAGTTCTATTTCCATGACATGTTTCGATTTAAATAAAACAAAATTCTTGCCATCTTCTTTAAAACAAGAATACATTAGTGATGACAAATGCACGGCACCACTCTTATATTAAATATTTGATTGTTTGATCAAGTGCTGGTACAAAAAGAGGCACCTTAGAACTTTTATGATATTCCGTCACTGTGTGCTTTAGTCCTAAAAACGGGTTTCAATTGCTGGAACATTGTTGCTGCTTCTTGAGATTTCTTGAGCTTATTTCGTTTGCTGGGTACTTTGGTAAAGTTCGTTCATCCAATATAGATGCATAACATACACTTTTGGGACACACCATATCAAGTATTTTGCACCAAAGTAGACTCCTGCGCTAAAATAATCGCTCGAAAAAATTTTCGCTCATGCTAGAAAAAATAACATTAATTATTTTAAAATTTCGAGCACCAATAATGCCGATATATTTCTCTATTGTAAAATGTAGCAATTTGTTACATTCACAATTGTAATTTTTTTTTACTGGACCGAGCGAAAAAGATTCCAATGGAATATTTTTAACGCAATATTTTTGGTGCAATATGCGCAAAATCTATACAGGGATAACATATATTATCCTTGAAGCAGATAGAGAAAGTTTTCCGCCACAAACTCCCAGCCACAATATGTTACTGTTACTCGTATCGAAACAGGTCAAATTGAAATCATAAGAATTGACCCCTCAAGTACGATTCCAAGACCACACGATTGGGAGAACGAAGGTTAGCGCTGCTCACCATGGTCTCCTCAGGTGGTACACATAAATTTATGAGTAAATAGGACCAATTTGCATCCACTCACCTAATTGGCGTTCTTGTGTTTACCCTGCTTTCGAATAACCCGAACCCTAAATGTGGGTTACCTTATTAGTAATTCAAAGGTGACGCCTCGACCAAATGCTTACCTTAAAATGGTCCGGATTTTCGGATTCTTCGATAAATTTGAAGATATCCGCCACTGCTTTGATCATAAGACCACTGTCTTGCTGTGATTTAGCGGAAGCGACTGTTGTGTCACCTTGGTCGGAAGCAGCGGCCGCTCGTTTCGGATTAGGTCCCAGCATGGTATGAGTCTTTCCGGATCCAGTTGCCCCGTAAGCAAACACCGCTGCGTTGTATCCATTCAGTACATCCTGCACGAGGGAAGCCGTGGTCGTTTTGTACACCTCCTCCTGTGGGCGGGAAAACAAGAACGAAAAAATCGATTTTCCTCAGTTCTTCGTTCACACCAATACCGGCTACGGTAGGTTGCCGTCGCATAATGCCGCAAGGTGATTCTCCAACACAACAATAGGCACCAAGTGCGAAGCGGCAATCAGTGTAACATTGGGCACTAAAGTTGGATCATAAATCAACAATCTCGGTATCATTTTGAAAAGGGAACCAACTACCGTTGATGATAGCGCAACAATGTCTGAGATTAATAGAATCAGAGATAGGCAACAGTCGCAAAAAATGCATCCACCGCATGCAACGTACCTGAGTCGAGCTCTCGCCAAATACATGGTCGTAGTTGTACTTTTTTGGCTTGTTCCGGTTTCCTTCGTCGAACAGCAGCGTCCGGTGAGAGACCACCTGCACGCAATTTGACTCGTTGCTGTCGCTGAGTGGTCGTATCCTTACGGCGACCTAGTTCAGGGGTGAAATGTAGGAAATGAATTAGCATAAAATTAGCATAATGTCCGTTTGTTGACTGGCGCTAGTTTTCCACGGGTGGATAGTAGAGATGTTCATTCATTCAGAAATTTATCAAATTTACTTGGAATCATTCGGGATCACATTTAGGGTGAAAACATTCCAGGAAATCTTAACGTTATTTTATAAGGAGATGCTAGTAAAAGGTTATGCCCGTTATTACAGAGATGACGGAAATAGAAGCCACTGTCACGGCGAAGGTTGCTTCAATTCTATAGCAACATCTAATACGGCATTTTGCAAAAAGGAGACTCGCTGAAAATAATCCCATAGATTTTTTTGCTCGTGCCAGTAAACATAAAAGATAACCATTCTCAATGTAATATAGTGCTACATTTCACAATAGGATATAGGAGAGAAAATTTATATTTTTATTTTGGTCTGAGCGAAAATAAATCTGAGAGATTATTTTCGGTAAAAAGGTAAATGAATCATTAAACAATGACGATGTTCCTTAATAAGTAAACAAAATCTCCTTAAAATAGATCGGGTTGCTCCTTAAATGATTGATCAAAATACGTTAAAAATCTTAAAATGCTCAGTAAATATTTAAAGTACGCTACCTAAAATAGAGAAAACTGTACATTAAGCATTTGAAAATGTTCCTTGGCATGCACCTCTTTTCACCATTTTGAAGTGTAATTGTACCATATATCATCGGAAAAGCTGCTGTAGAAAGGTTAATAAGTACCATGAAATCAGCTGTAATGTTCAGTAAATCATTGTGTGCATTTGTGCATTTTTTACTGAAAATTTCAGCTGATTTCATGGTACTTATTAACCTTTCTACAGCAGCTTTTCCGATGATATATGGTACAATTACCTTCCAAAATGGTGAAAAGCGGTGCATACTAAGGAGCATTTTCAAATGCTTAATGTACAGTTTTCTCTATTTAAGGGAGCGTACTTTAAATATTTACTGAGCATTTTAAGGTTTTTTAACGTATTTTGATCAATCATTTGAAGAGCAACCCGATCTATTTTAAGGAGATTTTCTTTACTTATTAAGGATAATTTCATCTGTTTTATTGAGCAAAAGTAGGGCTGCCGATTATTTTCAGCGCAGGCGCAGTCTACCTACCCCCCGACCGAAAAAACGACTGCACGATCATCCATGAGCACGTTAATTCGTTGGGCTCGATTTCGTCTCAATTGTGCCCCAATTCTCCCGCTCTCCTATTTGGCGACTACAACCAAGCTGGTTTACAGTGGTGTTTCTCTGACAGTGACACACCATTCATTGATCCTCTGCTATCGCATATGCCGGTTGCTTGCTGTGAACTTCTGGACGGATTTAACATTCATGGGTTCACTCAGGCGAACATTTTTCCCAACCGTAATAGACGTTTGTTAGATCTTGTTCTGGCAAATGACTCAGCATTACCAGACACTTCTGTTTCTCTACCGGTTGAGCCACTGATCGATCTAGATGCCGACCATCCCGCTCTCGTCGTGTCATTAAGTTTATACACTCCAATTGAATATATACCGTTTTCCGAGTGCTGCTTTCTGGACTTTCGCCGGGCCGATTACACTGCATTGAACAATGCGCTTGCGGAAATAGATTGGCACTGTATCGAAACGGCCGCTAGTGTCAATGATGCTGTGGATTGTTTCAGCTCTGCGCTGAAAGAAGTTATTCTCCGCACTGTCCCAGCAAGACGTCCCCCGCAGAAGCCTCCATGGTCGAACCCACGCCTACGTAAACTAAAACGTCAGCGCTCCGCCGCACTCCGAAGGTACTGCAGCTCGCGCTTACCGTTCTACAAGCAACAGTTTAAATTCGCAAGTCATCGCTATCGAAACTACAGCCACTTCCTCTATAATCGGCACGTGAGACGCACGGAAGCGAACCTTCGGTCGAACCCGAAAGGTTATTGGTCGTTTGTAAATTCAAAACGGAAAGAATCCGGGCTGCCTTGTTCCATGTTCCTCGGAGATGATACGGCCTGCAGCGAAAGTGAAAAATGCAGCTTGTTTGCTCGTCAATTCAAACAAGTCTTCCATGATTTTTCCGCTTCACCGACACAGGTGTTGGTCGCAACCTCCGGGATGCCACGTGATGTTTTTAGTTTTGACATACCTCACATCACTGAAGACATGGTGATAGCCGCAACACGCAAAATGAAGAACTCATTCGCCGCTGGTCCTGACGGAATTCCCTCGTCAGTTTTAAAACGATGTGCAGTCAACCTCTGCCTTCCACTTGCGCGACTTTTTAATTTCTCGGCACAGCAAAGTGAATTCCCCTCCCGCTGGAAGCTTTCCTATCTGTTTCCAATTCACAAAAAAGGAGACAAACGGAATGTCGCTAATTATCGTGGGATTTCCTCCATGTGCGCCTGCTCTAAACTTTTCGAGATTATTGTAAATGATGCTCTGTTTATGTGCTGTAAAAATTATATCGATACGGACCAACATGGTTTTTACCCCAAGCGATCGGTTTCCACGAACCTGGTGCAGTTTACCTATGACTGTCTGCGAAGCTTGGATGCTGGATGGCAAGTTGATGCTGCATACATGGACTTAAAAGCCGCTTTTGACAGGGTGGATCATGAAATCCTGCTTGCTAAGTTGGAGATACTAGGTGTCTCGTCTACGGCTGTGAAATGGTTCAGATCGTACTTAGTGAATCGCTCTGTACGAGTCAAGATTGGCGCGACGGATTCAAATGTTTTCTCAAACAACTTGGGAGTCCCGCAAGGCAGCAACCTGGGACCTCTGCTGTTTTCGATCTTTTTAAACGACATCGCTCTGTTGTTACCATCTGGATGTCATCTTTTCTACGCAGATGACGCCAAAATCTACAAAATTATCAAAAGCCTCTCGGACTGTTGGGATCTCCAGCATATGCTATGTATTTTCGCTGACTGGTGCACGAGAAATTTGATGGGCCTGAGCATCGAAAAATGCAACGTCATCTCCTATCACCATAAAAACGAACCAATTATGTTTGACTATGTGCTCTTTGGACGTTGCATTGCCCGTGTAGAACAAATAAAGGATCTCGGTGTTACTCTGGACTGAGGACTCACCTTCAAAATCCATTATAACGACATCATTTCCCGAGCCAATCGCCAACTGGGTTTTATTTTCAAAATTGCCGATGAGTTCCGGGACCCGTTATGCCTCAGATCACTTTACTGCTCACTTGTGCGGTCTATATTAGAATCAAGTGCAGTTGTATGGTGCCCTTTCCAAGCCACTTGGATCGTTAGAATCGAATCTGTTCAACGAAAGTTTGTGAGATATGCTCTTCGTTTCTTGAACTGGCGTGACTCATCGAACCTGCCACCGTACGAGGAGCGTTGCCGTCTTCTGGGCATCGAACCGCTAGTGGTGCTCGAACCGCTAGTGGTGACGGTCGCTCAAGCTATGTTTGCTGGAAAGCTTCTCATGGGTGACATCGACTGTCCAACGTTGCTGGCCCAGCTAAATATGTATGCTCCTGAGAGACCTCTTCGTCAACGCGAATTTCTGTTTTTGGAGCCACGAGGCAGAAATTATACGCAGAATGAGCCAATTCGTGCAATCAGCCGACAATTTAACTACTTTTATTGCGAATTTGACTTTAACGTATCAGCAAATGTGTTTCGTCACCGGTTACTTGACCGTTTTCGTTTCGTTGACCATAACTATTTAGATTAAGTTTTATTCATTAAGACATTAATTGTCAGTTGAATTATTAAATAAACAAATAAACAAATAAACAAATAGATGTTTTACACCCCTAATGAACAAATACTTTAAATGAATGATAACCCAAATAGTCGAACTTTTCCACACATGGTTTGGAAGATACCCCGAACACGTCGTTAAGCAAAATAACCATACAATTCTTTTAGGGACCTCATATCTGTGCTATTTCACATATGGCAGTTCTTTTCAGATCGTCGATTTCCTCCGAATTTCAAGTCCGCTGATCTCATTTTTGTACTTCTGTAGGTATACGTGGAGCAATTGACCACAAATGAATAAGGAAAAATCGATTTTCGGTCCTCGACAACCTTAAGGCCAGCGCACAATGGGTAAGTTTTCAGATTTTTTGACAGTTAGCCCATGCATTATCTGTCAAAAAACACGGAAACTTATACATTGTGCGCCAGTCTTTCATCTCAGGAGGTACGTCCAATACTGAGCAATGTGTAATTTTTTTTTTATCAAACTACCTAACTAAAATCTGGTTGGAACAAGGGATTGGTCACGTGGCATAGTGTACCGAAAACAAGTTCGGTATATTATGGTCATACCTGGGCACACTAATTGGCACCCATGGGAAGAAATTTACATGACATTCAAGCAAAACTAGCAACACTGCTGTATTACTATATTTTTTTAATATTTCGGTTGACGTGTAGAAACAAAAAGGTGTCTCAAACAACTGAAATGGATTTGTTCAGAAACATTTTCACATTAAAGCCAAGTTAAAGGCCAAGATATAAACAGTACGTTTTTCAATCGTAAAATAGAATACGATTATATATTTACTGAAAAATAAAACTAAACCGAGCTGGAAAACCGAGTGGGGTTGGGGAAAGAGGTATGGGAATAATTAGTCAAAACCTGAGTCGTGAAGCATAATGTTCCGGATAGAAAAGGATTACTCTAGTAAGCTCCACGTATACCTTCACGAGATGCCTATGGGGAAATAAACAAAAAATAAGCTTAATTTTAGTAGACTATTCAAATGTTCGTAGGTATAATTGTTTTCTAAAAGATTTTCAAAGCTTGGCCTAATGCCCTTCTAATAATTAACATGTTAGTTAGTGTAGAGGTTGATTCGGAAAAACTGTCACTTTTTAAAATGGTCATAACGATTGAACATAAAAAATGATATGATATCTGAGCTTGTAGAAAATTTTCTCAGCTACAACTTTGTCCTGAACCACTTTTCAATATAATGTAAGCATCAAAAGCTATCAATAATTCAAGTA